GCTTACATTTAGCATTTTATTTGTGGCTGTTGTATTTAGGCTTCAGAATTCATAAAAGTGTGTTCATTTGTGTAGATTATAACGATGCAACGTATAAGAATCATACACTAGAGTTTATAAGCTTTCTTCAATAATGCAAAAGCCAATGGATTTTAATTTTTTTCAGGTAACGGGTGATGTTAACTTCCGGGTTGGTCAACAAAAATACGTCAACACTCCATCATAGATAGGCTGCAGTATAAACGCTAAAATCTTTAAAAGAAGCAAAGTTTTCCCCATAATTTTCCTCCGGTTTTTATAAACCTTAGCGGCAAATGCACATGTGCGATACTTGAGATACAACTGCTGGTGTGGTTTGGAAGGTCAGAAATGTGGTAAATCCAAGAGAATGGTCCGTACGAGCACGGGGGATATTGGTATCCAGTAGGGAGTACAAGAAGTGTTTCTGCTTTTATAGGAGTGATAACGAGGCAGTGTTTATTTCAGGTGAGCGTTTATCACAATTCGCAACTCTTGCTGTTGTAGCGAGACTGTGGCAAAGATGATACTATCACTCAGTCACAACACAGTGTTATCTGAAATCTGTTCTGAAAGAAGAAGAAAAAAAAAGTCCTTGAAGCAGTCAGCTATAAATCTGAGTCAGCCCATTGGTGGGGTAGTATGTAAATGTAAGTCAATATATAGGCTAAACATTAGCCTGTTGGAGGCCTATTTGTTATTGTTCATTTAATGTAACTTTGAATTGTTTTGGAAAAATCTTGGAGTACTTAAATTAATAGGTTATATTTTCAATTTGGTAAAATTCCCATTTTATGTTATGCACTACATACTTATTTTTGATAGTGGTTTCAGTTTCATGGATACCTGACATTGGAGTTGGTTTTGTGGGGAACCATGCGGAGACTGGAACTGTTCAGGTTGCAATCTGAAACAGTATTATCCATGTTCTCACACTATCACAGACATGGATGTCATGTCACTGTACTGCTGAGGGCTGCATATCTTGTTGGAATATTCTAAACTGTAATTTCAATGAGAAGGGGGATGTGTGTGAGAATAAATGTCTGGGAAACTTTTTCAACCATGTCCAAGAAGAATGCCCAGTAGAGTCCACTAGTTCATACTGTAACTGGATCATTGGGGATGACATTTAAAGTCTCAAAGAACAACATGCTAGAAAGTATGCTTGTCAGAAAATGTTTATTTGCATATTGTGAAGTCATATACACTTTAATACTTTCCAAATTATTTTGTTTTTAGTAGTAGGCTACACATCCCTTGGTATAATAGTAAATTCTGTGTGTTCTCAGTTGCAACCATACACTAAAAAATGCTGGGTTGTTTCAACCCAATGTTGGGT